CGACGTACTGCGAACGTAAGTAACCGCGCGGACTTGCGAAGCAAGATTTTAGCCTTAGATGAACAAAAAGTGCAGTTCGATTTCGAAAACGGCTTTGTCGTCGAAGACATCGGCATTCGGCACGACCGCCTCAACGAATTGTTCAGGAACGCGAACAGCGACGTGCGAATTTTGGCGAGTCGCATCGGGCGGTTGAGCCTGCGCTACGACCCGCAGCTTGGCAAAATTTTGATCGACGTCGACAAAATCCGCTGCGTGGCGGAGCCGAACACGATGCGCAACTTGACGCGGCAGGCGATTTCGGGCGTCTCGAGCGCCGTGAGCGGCTTGATCGACTCGAGCGTCGACTTTAAACACCGGCTGCAGCACAGCGGGCTGCTGAACCCTCGAACGGCCGACTTGTTGTGCTGCGGCTGCAACGAAAGCGAAGTACAGATGTACCCGCCGCCGCCGCGCTGCGGCTGCGGCTGGGCAGGCGCGTCGCACTGCGCTGCGAACATGCCCTTCGCCGAGTGCTACGCACCGGCGCGGCCGGCGTGGAGCGAGCCGCGCGTGCCGGTGTGCTACAAGGCGGCGGGCGCGCCGCGCGCGCACTGCAGCGCCGCCGCGCCGCCCGAAGCGTACCCCGCTGCGGCGCAGCGGCTCTTCTACCAGCCGCCTAACTTCCGCGTGCAGCAGCAGGCGCCGTATGAGCCGCGGCTGCAGACGGCAGTGGTACACGTCGAGCAGAGTGCGGAGTACGTCGCGGCTGCGCCGCCAGTGCAAGCTGCGCGCGAAGCGCCCGCGTGGGCGCGCAGCGAACTAACGGCGCCGCAGGGCGCGAGCGCGGCGGCCGAGCACGCGGACGCGCGCGACTCCGGCGAGCTGCCAGCAGAAGACCAGATGCTGTTGCCGAACAGCGTCTCGCGGCCGCAGCGCCTGAAGGAGGACCGCTCGCGCGGCCCGCTCTCGCAGTGAGCCGTGAACAGATTTTAGATGACGGCTGTTTAATTGTGATTTTTTAAGCGCGCTGATTTAGCGCTGCGAGCCGCGCGGAGAATGCAACCGAACCAGGTGAAGCTGATCGCGGTGGCGCACTTCGCGGAAGCGCGCGAGCAGTCGCTGACGCTCTACTGCTACCTCGACGCGCAGGAAGACGTGACGCTGGTGTCGACGGACGAGCAGGCGCAGTTCAAGCTGCCGTGGGACCGCAGCCGCTTCTCGGCGCTCGCGGAGATCGTGTTCGTGGGCAAGACGCCGTGGTTCATCGCGCAGAACGGCGGCATCTACCACGTCGCGCAGCACAGCTTCCAGAGCATTTGCAGCACGTACTGCGCGCCGAGCGCGGTGTGCGTGAGCCGCAAGCGCGACCGAGACAGCGTGTACGTCGTGACGACCGACGGCGTGCTGCACGTGCTAGAGGCGCTGCGCAACGAGCAGATCCACGTGTACCCCGCGCACAAGTTCGAGTTCGTCGGCCCGCAGTACTGGAGCTCACTGACGTGTCTCGCCGAGGAAGCGGACTTTCTGTATGCAGGCTCATTCGCCGGCGACGTGTACTACCTCGACTTGCGCGAGCTGTACACGCGTTGGGACTTGAACTTGAAAACCAACTACGTGGCGACGCGGCGCGCGAACGTGTTCACGGGCGAGAGCGAGAACCTGACGGTGAGCGCGCCTTGCGAGCCGGCGCAGAAGACGCTGGAGCGCTGCGCGCGGCAACTGCTGTCGACCGGCGACGCGCTGCTGCTGCTGACGTGCGGCAACCAGCTGTTCAAGTTGCCGCTGCGCGAAAATGCGCCAGACACGGCCGCGGCAGAGCTGCTCGAAGACAACGTGCTGGAGGTGCAGCTGAGCCCGACGCGCGAGCTGCTCGCGCTAGACACGGCGCTGCAGCTGAAACGCTTCATCAACCTCGCGCTCTCGCCGTTTTCGGTGCGGCTGAGCGTCGCGTTCCACGCGACGCAGCTGAACAAGCACGTGCTTCGGCAAGCGCTGCAACACCGGTGCGGGCAGGTCTTCATCAGCGCCGCGTTGGCGGCGTACTGCTACTGCGAAGACGCCGGCTGCGCCGCTAAGTGACCGTCTTGAACATGAGCGTCTCCTCGCGGAGCTTGTTGCTGCTCGGCTCGGGCATCAGCTCGTAGACCACGCCGTTCAAGTCGAGTTTGCCCTCCTTCTCGACGCCAACCAGATTCAAGTACTCGAGGGAGAACGGGCTGCCGCTTTCGAGCACGAACGTCACTGCGCGCACGTTCTTGAACTTCGCGGCGTACAGCGGCACGGGCACGTTTCCGCAAGGGTCCGCGACACCGTGCAGCGTCTGCGCGCTTGCGTAATCCTCGAAGTTGTCGGCGTCGACCTGGTTGACGCCGGCGTACAAGTGTAGCTGGTCGCAAGGCTCCCGACTTTGCGCGTAAAAGCCCACGAGGTCGCAGCGCTTGGAGAGCTCCAGCTTCACGACCAGCACGAACTTGTCGAACTCGTTGCGGCACGCGCGCAGCAGCACCGAGCCGTCGCCGCGCGCGTCGTGTTCGCGCACCAGCCGAGTCCGCATGCTCGGCTCGCTGCACTCGGCGTTCAGAACATTGCAGGCCGAGAGCGCTTTGTGCAGCAGTTTTCCGCCGCGAAGATCGCTGGAGACGCCGCAGGTGCACTGCGGCCCATGCGAGTTAGGTTCGCCGCTCATAGGATAAATCGAAAATACATTACGAATTTTCAGCAGCAGACCGCAGCCGAGCCGCCGAACGCGCCGCCCAGTCGCGCCACGCGCGCGCCGCTCTCGCGCCGCTTTCGCGCCGCTTTCGCGCTCCGATTCGCGCGATCCGCAGCTGCAGAACAGCGCGGTCGGTCGCAGCGCGCCTCGGTCGGAATGAGCATTCTCGCGACGCGACTCGCATACGCCGCCGCGTCTTGCGCAATATACAGGCTCGCACTCTTTTAATTAAAATAGATCCGCGTGAACTAATCGCGCGCGCATGATGGAAAGCGACAAAACGCTAAACCTGGCGCTGGTCGAAAAATTCAGCGACTTCCTCGCAAACCATTGCCAGTCGGCGAAAGAACCGAACAGGGTGGCGGCGCACGTGGCGGCGCTGCACTTGCGCGCCTACGTCGACGCGTGTGCGACGCATCAAGCCGCGCTGAGCGATGCGGAGTCAGCGACGCTGGAGCAGGCGCGAGCTTTGCTGCAAAAGACGGCGGAGCAAGGCGCCGCGCCGGGCGAGAAAGCGAGCAGCGCGGAGCGCGCCGCCACACCGATCGAGAAAGCGAGCAGTGCGGAGCGCGCCGCCACACCGATCGAGAAAGCGAGCAGTGCGGAAGTGAGCGAGGTGCGGAAGCGCACGGTTCGCGGCGCGACGCCGGTCGCGCCAGAGTCCGCGAGCGGTCGCGCGGCAACTGCGCTGAATTTCGACAAGCGCAGCGAGGCAAACTTCTACGAAGAAACACTGCTTAACTCGATCGAAGACCACACAGCGCGGCTGCGCACGAGCTGCCACAACTTGCAGGACAGCATCGTGTCGGACCGCTCGACGCTCGGCAGCTTGAAAGCGGCGATGGCGAGCAACAAGAAGTTGCACGACGAGCACGACAGCCGCGCGAAACTACTGCAGTAAGTTTTCGCGCGCTCGACGCAGAAAGCAACGGCGCGTGACCTGGAAGACGCTGCTCGTCGAGATGGCGCTTTCGGTGCTGGCGCTCATTCTGCTGTTCCTCTTCCGCGTAATTTAATCGCGCTCAAAGGCGCCTACGAAAGCCTGCGTCTTCTGCACGTAAGCTTTGTCGCGCGGCGAACTGCGTGGCGTTTGCGTGTACTTACTGCGAGATCAGAAATTTGATGCGTTTGCCAACCTCGAGCACAGTGGGCGGCGAGGTGCTGTTTTCGATGAACTCAAAGTCGCCGTTCTCCGTTTCGACAATCTCCTGTGTGGCGGAGAAGCGCTCGCGCAAAATGTGCACTGGAATCGCGGCCATGATCGCGCACTCGACGTAGTTCTCAGTGACCGTGCGGATGGCGCCCGCGACGAGCAGCTGGTCTTTGGCGCAGAAGCTGAGTTCGCAGAACTGCACCTGGACGACCAGCGCACAGCTCGGGTCGTTGGCAATCATCGACGCGCTTTTCTCCTGCAGCTTCACCTTCGCGAAGCCAATGCAGAAGCGGCTACAGTCCTGCGAAAACGTAAACAGCTTGTCTTCCAACAGCCGCCAGTAGATCGCGCGCTTCACGTTGCTCAGCTGCGACGGGTGCAACTTGAGTTGCAGGCTGCGCTTTCGGCTGTAAAAGCAAGTCGACTTTTTGCCTTTTGTGAACAACTGCGCGAGCTTCGGCGAGTTGAGCGCCGCTTCAAAGGTCTGGACCAGCAGCACGAGCTTTTGTAGCTTTCCGCGGCTTCCGCCAGGCTGGTCGCCGGCATTGTGCAAAAACTTGCGGAGCGCGCTGAGAGTCTTCTTGAGAGAGAGCCGCGTCGGCTTCTCGCCAGTCTCGCCTGACTGGGTCATGCCATGTCTGGTTAGGCCGCGGCGCGCACTAAAAGAGAAGCGCTTATTATATTAGCCGAAATTGGAGTTTTCCTAGGCAATACGCGCTAAATACGCCGCAATAAAAATCGCGAAGGCGACGTGTGCAAGCAGGTTTGGAACGGCCAGTCGTTTTCATCGAAATGAGCGGCGACATTGCCGATAGCGCGAATACCGGCGCAGTCGTTTACACCGCGCAACTGAACGACAGCTGCCTGGACGCGGGCGTCTCAGACGAGCCCGCGTGCGAAACGCTGCGCGCACAGAAGGCGGTGCACTTCCAGCGCGAGATCCAGGTGTTCATGTACGAAATCGGGTCGGTTGAGAGCAGCGGCCAGCCCACGGAAGACTCGGAGGAGAGTCCGAGCGTCGCGCAGCCGCTGTGCAGCGCGGCGCAGTCGCCGCCGCACGACCCCGAAGCGCTGTACGCGCCGTCGAACATGGCGTTCATACCGTTCAAGCGGATCTACGAGTTGGCAGGGTTTGACTCTTGACGCAAAAAGCTAATCTAAATATAAATTCGACTAAACCTCGGTCGGCGCACGCAATGGGCGTCAAGGGGCTCTCGAAACTGGTGAAGGCGAAAGCGCCCGCGGGTGTCAAACACGTGACTGCGGCGAGTTTCTGCGACCGGCGCGTGGCAATCGACGCAGCGACTTCGTTGTACGCATTTCTCACGGCCATCCGCGACACAGCCTCGGCCGAGACGCTCAGCTCGGCCGACGGGAAAGTCACGAGCCACATCTCCGGCTGTCTCTCGCGCGTAATCAAGATTCTGGGCTGCGGCGTGAAACCGATTTTCGTGTTTGACGGCGCGCCGCCGGCCGAAAAAGAAGAGGAACTGCGGCGCCGCAGCAAGCTGAAGGCTGCCGCGAGCGAAAAGTTCGAAGCCGCGAAGGCCGAGGGCGACCGCGACGCGATGCGCAAATTTGCGTCGCAATCCGTCAACGTGACCGAGGAGCACATCGCAGATATCAAGCGGCTGCTCGAGCTGTGCGGCTTGCCGTACGTGCAGGCGAAGGGCGAAGCGGAGGCCGAGTGCGCGAACCTGTTCAAGCGCGGGCTATGCGACGCCGTCGCTTCTGAAGACTCGGACACATTGTGTTACGGCGTCACGCAACTGTGTCGCTCGCTCGACTACAAAGGCAAAGAAGTCACCATGCAGCTGTACTTGCTTGACGAGATTGAGGCCGCGCTGCGACTGAGCCACGAGCAGTTCGTGGAACTCTGTCTGCTGTGCGGCTGCGACTACATCAGCAACCCGAAAAGAGTCGGACCGCTCTCCGCCTTAAAGCTCATGCAGCAGTTCGGCTCAATCGAAGAGTGCGCGAAGCAGAAGCCGGAGCTGCAGCTCGACGTGGCGAAGTACGCAAAACTCAAGAACCTCTTTCTGCAGTCTGACGTGCTCACGGAAGAGGAGCTGCAGAGGCAGCCCATCAGGTTTGCCGAAGTGAAAGAGGCGGAACTGAAGAGCTACTTGGTCGACGAATGTACGTTCAACGCGGACCGCGCCAGCAAGTTAGTTGCAGAGCTCGTGAAGTCGCGCGCCTCTTCGAAGCAGCGCACGCTAGCAGGCTTCACGGTCAAACGTTGTAAGCTCGGCTAGGCGCGGGCCGCACGCAGCGGCGCGCATACTCTCGCTAGCCGCGCGCTGCGGTTGCCGAGCGTTGACTTTTCGCACGCTGCGGTTACCGAGCATTGACTTTTCGCGCGCTGCATCTCGCAGCGGTCCGCGAAACAGCCGCGGCATCGTTGCTATCTGCGCGGCAAGCCGGTTCGCGGCAAGCCGGTTCGCGGCACGCCGGTTCGCGGCACGCCGGTTCGCGGCACGCCGGTCCGCGGGCGCGCTAGTTAAAGACGGCGTCGAACGCCTCCGCATCGAGCTCGAAGCGGCCAAACACGGCGCGTAGCGCGCGCAGCGCGCTTGCCTCCTGCGCGAGCGTCGCGAAGCTGTGTGTGAGCTTCACAAGCTCTAGCAGCAGCGTCAGTAGCGAGCAGCGGCCGTCGCGAGCCTCGCCGGCGAGCGAGCGGTAGCTCACGTTGAACTGGACGAAGAACTCCTTGAGGTAGAGCTTGTGCGGGCAGCGCGCAGAGGCCGGCTCGAGCAGCGCTAGCGGCGACCAGCGGCTCGCCTCGCGCTCGGTCTGCATAACTTCCGGCGCCACCGTTTGCCTGCTGCTGCGCAGACTCAGCACGCGGAGCTTTACCAGTTCCGCAGCGTACGCGCCTGCGGGCTCGACCGCGTCGGCGGGCGCGTCTCCGTGCGCGCGCAGCGCGCCGAACAGCTGCGGTCGGAACGCGTAGAGCTCGTGAGCGCCCAAAAACTCGCCGTTGAAGTACTGCAGTTCCGCCTGCAGCTCGCGCAGGAAGAGCGAGCGCTTCAGGATCGCCAGCTTTTCTGCGCTGCAGCTTTCTCGCGACGTGCACACGAGGTGCTCGAGCGGCGCTTCGGCCGCGAACAGGTTGCAGCGGAAGCGGCACGTGTTCGCGAGGTCCGCGGGCGGCGTGCGTAGCAGCAGCTGGCGGATCCACGCGGCCTCGGCGACGGAGAGTAGCACTGCGAGGTGGTTGCCGCTGGGCGCGTAGAGCGGGATCGACGGACAGTTTTCGTGACAGCGGTAGTGCTCTGCGAGAATGGCTTCGAGCACGGCGCAGTCATCGCTCGCGTTCGCGTTCGCGCTCGCTGCGACGCCGCTGCGCGCTGCGTTCTCGAGGTAGAAGCAGTGGGCCTGCTCGAAGCCGAGCATTTGCAGCGCGGTCGAAACGTTGAAGCTGCTGTCTTCCAGCACGCGCTGCAGGTTTTGCACTTCATGCCGCAGTCGGTCCGGTCGCTGCGCAGCGTACTGCGCGTGCGCCGGCAGCAGCTCCACGAGCAGGAAGATAAGCGCCTTCGGCAGCCGCGCGGCGTGCGTCCCGCTGACGTTGAAAAACGGCGAGCAGCGGAGGTAGTCCCCGCAGTTTAGCGAGAACGCGCTGTCGCGCGCCTTTTTGCCGTCGCCGAGCGCAAACTTGATCTGGTTCAGCTGGCGCGCCTCCGCCACGACGCGCGCGAGGCTCAGCTGCGCGAACAGCGGCTGCAGCGGCGACCACTGCATCCGCAGCGCGGTCCGCTGCGGCGGCTCTTGGCAACTAACTTCTTTCTGCAGCTCAATCTCAATTTCCACTTCATGCGTGCACAGCACTTCGGACGTGATCTCCAAGGTGGCATCGTAGTCGGCCGCCGCGCCGCGCGCCTCGCGCAAGCCTGGCGCGTCCTCAGTCGCGCTCGGGCCATCTTCGGCGCCTGCCACGCGCGGAGCCGTTTGCGCGAACGCGCTCTGGTCTGCGCGATGCACGAACAGCGCCTTTTGCAGCGCGAAGGACTGTTTTCCGCTGCGCGTGGCGGCGGCCGCAAGCACGCGCTGCAATTCCGGCCGCACGGCGGCGTAGTGGCGGTCGATCCGCGCGACCAGCGGCAGCACGGCGTCGCGTTTGCGCAGCGAAGCGCTCAGCACCCAGTTCAGCAGGCGCAGCGTGAGCGTGTCCGGCGAGCTGGAGATCAGCTGCGGCGCGTCGGCGAGCTGCGCGGCGACCTCGCGCGGAATGTAGCACACGAGTTTTTGGCCCGCGCCGAGCTGCCGCAGTCGCCACGCGCCCTGCACTAACTCGCGGAAGCTCATGTCACTGCCGACAGTCAAGAGCCCCGTGGCGCCGCTGCAAATTTTGACGTCCTGTCCGAAGCTGTTGAGTTGGTCGAAGAACACGAAGCGGTCCGCAATAGAGCCGCTAGTCACGCGCGAGAGCTCGTGTAGCTGTCCGTTGAAGTCGTTGCGCACGAGCACCTTCTGCTGCGAAGTGGGCTGCTCGAAGTAGAGCACCTCGCGGAAGCGCTGTGCCGCGTCCGCGAGCAGAACGGCGCGCGCGACCTCGCGATTCGGTAGCGAGGGCAGCAGCGCGCCTGCGTCTATCAGCACGCTGCACTCGTGCTGCAACAGCACGCGCAGCAGCGCGTCCGCGCTGCTCTCTCCGGGCGCAACGGAAGCGCGGCCTTCGTCGCGCTCTTCGGCGACGACGCAGCGGCACACCGCCTCGGAGAGCAGCACGCGCACCATGTCGACGTAGCCGGTCTCTGCGAAGTGGCACTCGCCGAGGTCCGCAGGCAGCGGCTCGTCGGGCGTCCCGCTGTAGCCTAGCCGCCGCGGACAGAGCAGATTGGAGCCGAGCACGAAGCCGTTGGCGACGAGTGACTCGCGGCTCTCGAGCACCGCGAGCGGCAGCAGCAGCTCCACGAGCAAGAAGCGCACGACGTGCGCGCTGCGGCGCAGGTGCGCGCAGATCAGCTCGACGAAGTGCGGGTCTTCGAAGTCTGTTTGGTCTAACGCGGAGAAGCTCGCAACGGGCACCGCGCTGCGCTCGAACGGCGCGAGGCTCTCCAGCGCGTCACTGTCGGCGCAGCCCTTGACCCGGCCGCGCGCTGCGCAGACCCAGGAGCGGTACGCGCGCGCGGCGGCGGACTGCTCGGGCGCGGCGACGTTTTCCTGCGAGCGGCGCAGCCGCAGCTCCGCCACGCAGAGCAGCACGAGCGGCGGCGCCAGGCCCGCGACGAAGTAGCTGAGGAAGGAGTACGCAGCGAGCAAGTCTTTGTTGGCGAACTCGCTGGCGGCCGAGGGCGTTTCCTTCGCGAGGTACGGCACGGCTAGGAAACGGCGTGTCAGCGCCGCGGCGGAAGACGGCGCGCGCGCGGCGGGCTTCGGCGCCGCGAAGCCGAAGTTGACGTTGTAGCGCTTGGTCAAGAAGTGGAAGCCCAAAAAGTTCGTCCACACGTCCATCAGCAGCAGGTGCTGCTGGCTCGCCGGCTCGGCGAGGTGCAGGTAGAACTGGCTGCGCGCGGCGCCACCCGAGTACGAGCGCTCGAAGAGCGTCGTGAAGTGCTTCTGGCGCAGGAAGCACTGCAACAGCAGTTGCTCGGCGCGCGAACGCGGGTCGTCGGCGGCGCCTGCGGCGCGCTCAGCCGGCCGCGCGGCCCCGCGGCACTCGAGCAAGCCGGTGAAGCGCGCGAGCAGCACGAACCAGCGCGCGACGATCGGCTTGAAGTGCTCCGCGTACACCTCGGCGTCCAGCAGCGCGAAGTGCGGGTCAACGGCGACCAAGTTGCGCCGGCGCAGCGCGTCAAACGCGCGCAGAAACTCTGCCTGCACGGCGCGCAGCTCGGCGACGTCCGCGGCGTTCAGCCGCCGCGCGAGCACGCAGCGGCACTCCAGCTGTTGCGGCGCGAAGTGGAACAGTTCGCAGAAGTGCATCGCGACCAGCCAGCGGAAGCCGGGCCGCAGCGCGTCGCCGCAGGGCTCGAGCCCGGCGTCGCGGAAGTGCGACTCGAAGTAGACGAAGCGGTCTGCGGAGGACTTTGCGCCGACGGGCCAGCGCACCTCGCTCGACAGCGGATTCATCGTCTTGTCCACCTCGTCCAGGATGAAGCAGCCGCGCTCACGCAGCAGGCTGAACAGAGTCGCGAGCCGCTGCAACTCGGCCGCGTCGGCGACGGCACCCACGCCGCGGCTGCCGTCGTGGCCGCCGGCAAAGTCCGCAGCGCGCTGCGAGCGCGGGTGCAGCGTGACGTTCCGCTTGAGCAGGCGGCGCAGCTCGCGCAGGAAGCTCGGGTGCGTTTCGCCGCGCAACGCGGCAGCGAGCGGCGCCCTGCTCGCGAGCGCGAAGCGCGTGAAGGCCACCTCCGCGGAGCGCTCGCGCGCGCCGAGCTCGTCCACAAACTGCGCAGCCGCGCGCAGCTTCGCGAGCTGCGGCTCCGCCGCGCCGCTGGCGGCCGGGTCGGCCTGCAGTGGCAGGCAGCCCTCCACGAACTTCAGGAAGAGCGCGCACACCGAGGCAGGGTCGGTTACTACCACGCCGCCGCGCGCCGCAAAGTCGCGGAACAAGGCGAGGTCCTCCGCGCTGAAGCTGCCGTAGCGGTCGAACGCGAAGCGCGTCACGCGGTAGTCGAAGAAGCGCGAGAGCTTGCTCGAAAGCGCGGCCTGCGTAAAGCGCAGCAGCGGCGTAGGCACTACGCAGCACACGAGCCAGCCGTCGTTCAGCAGCAGCAACGTGGTAAGCGGGTTCAGCACGGTGGTCTTGCCCTGTCCCATCATCATCTGCGTGCAGTACGGCGCGCCGCGGCGGACGTGCTCGTCGAGCACCGCTACCGTCGTCGCCTGCTGCTTCCACAGCAACAGCGCGTTCAGCACTTCGAAGCTGAGCAACTCCGCGTCCACCAACTCCGCGTCCACCAACTCCGCTTTCACCGACGCCACGCCGGAGCGAACTCGCGCGTGGCTCACGTCCTGTGCGAGCAAGTTGCGCAGCTGCTGAAACAGCAGGTCGTCTGAGCGCGCGGCGGGCGCCGCGCACAGCGCGCGCACGGCAGCCGCGACCTGCACGCACAGCTGCACGCGCGCGAGGCTCAGCAGCAGCGTCACGCGCAGCCAGTTCAGGCACGACTGCAGGTTCAACGGCATGCGGTACGGCGCGTCGCAGCCGTTGACCGACGCGAAGCTCAAGCGGCCCAGCAGCAACTCTCGGAAGGAGGGCAGCGCACTCAGCTCGCCGAGCTGCCGCAGCTGCCGCAGGTACTGCAGT